CTTTTGCCGTCCCAACCATAGTAGTTCCTCGCTCCTCATGTGGCTGCTGGAGGCGCTGCACCCTCGGGACTTCCCACGCCCACGGTCTGATGCAGGGAGTCCAATTCACTGAACACCGCCCATGTTCGTGCAATCACGAAATTCAGACGAGGATCACGCTGTGAATATTCAAGTATTTTCAAGTGTGATTCGCTGAGACCTTGACACATTCAAGCGCTGACGGGCGTGAAGGCGGAACCGAAGGCCTACATTTGCGCGATATCACAGTGCTTGCGCTCTCTTTCTGGCGTATCGCCGTATCACTCACTACGGACCTCTGAAACGCCCTTTCTGACTCAGTTGAGAACACTATCACACGCGTCGAGAGCTCTCCGCAACACTAACACTCTCTGCGGAAACACAACACAGTCACAGCACTAACTTTCCTCCGGGGGACCGAAGGCTGGCGAGAAGCTCATTCAGTACTCGCGAGTTACTCCACAGCGCGCGACACGCACCTTCGCAGCACAGCGTAAGGTAGACCTACTGAGCCGCGCGACTCCCGTGTGAAGGTGAGAGGGCCCGCTGGGGGCGTGGCTAAACTCCCCCTCCTCTCTCCCTTGCGCCCCTCCCTCCCCACCGCCCGTGGCCCTTCCCCACGCGACGGAGGGACTCGCTCGCCACCACCTCACTGAGTTCCGGAAATTTCGGGCTTGATCGACGATCGGCCGAAAAACAAGCGGGGATGCGGCCACTTCCTTCCTTGACCTTCCACACGACCCTCCTCTGTCGCTTTTTATTGATTTCTTCAAGGATTTTCGTTCTGTTTACAAGCATATCTGCCTGTCAGTCGCGCCAACGTACTTCTCGTTCGAAGTCATATGACTACACTGAAATGTATTCAACCAGAAAACGAATTAATTCATCACGTTAATGACTATCCGGGTTAACACAAACAACTTTCCTCACTGTTTCGATCTTCTACACCTACCCCCCCTTTCGACACAAGAACCTCCTCTTTCTCCCTTCTGACATTTCTGATATTCTTTGGTGTCTCTCAAGCAAAATATCATATTTTATGATAAAACATACTAACTTGTATTATATTTGATTTTGGTAAATGAATACGTCATCAATTTAGTGATATGTTGATGTTGAAATGCTTTTTATAAGAGAATATTGCTCTCGAAAGGCTCTGCCAAATCCACTGTAATAATTTTTGTCTGAAACTATCCAATTTGTAAAATGAACATTTAATTTCAAACTCAAATTCAAGATTCTTCCCTTTACGTCACCCCCCGTGATTCCTCTTCGTCCCCACACCCCTCCTTCCCTTCCCCCCGCCACCCTCCCTCTCAATCCCTCTAAACATGCCCCGAATAGACGAAGCAACCAACATACTTCCAACATACTTAGGTAAGTCAGGTATCGGGCCGACATAATCCGCCACATCCCAACATACCGCATGCCCTGGGAGTGGCCACCTTGGAGACACCGCCTTGACAGCGAATATTTCACGAATATCTCGGTTCGACGGCGAGGACTCACTAATCGAGGCACGGCCAACATAACCCCGAATGATCTTAGAAGTTCTCCCGAATTTTCCACAACGTCCTTCCTTAAAGACATACTTTTCACAGATATATTCAGATACAGTTCTGGACGGAAAAAAATATCCTAGGAATAGTTTAGAACTCTTGAATAACGAACAGTTCATGGTATAATATTCATACTTTAAACGTGAAGATAATCCTACATTTATCCTGTGAATAGAGTATCATACGGTTCATGCATAATATCTGTGCCTTAAACGGGAAAATCACCTCGCGAGTATCCTCAGGAAAGCTGAGTACTCTGAATATCCCGAGCATTGAGAGTGACCTTAGCGTCCTGTCTGGAGCCCCCCCCCCCACTCCCGTCCCCCATTCCATGCATGTCTAGTCGGAACACGGGGAGAACTTGCTAGGAATCTGTGAGTTATTTTAATTAAAAAATCGAAAGCGGTGGTTGGAATGTCGCTTGAGCCTTAACCACTGTGTCAAGGATGCCACTGACTGACACTGGCAAGTCCGTCACTATGGAAAAAAATGTAAAAGTGTTAAACCAGTTGTTAACTAGTACTATTACTACTACTACAACAGTAGTGACTACAACCACGAATAAATTCATAAACAACAACAATTAGCAGGTCAACAATCATAATAACAGTATGTATAATACTAAATATGTTTTGATAGTTTCACTGTTACTTTACTACTACTGCTATTACCACTACTACTACTGCTACTACTACTACTATTACTCTACTACTACTATTACTCTACTACTACTACTACAACTACTTTTACTACTACTACTACTACTACTCTTATTACTACTACTACTCTACTTCTACTACTACTACTATACTACTACTACTGCTACTGTTACTACTACTATTACTACTATTAGTACGATCAGTAACGTCAGCACTAAAAATAATGATGGCAATAATACCCAGAAACAAAATTCGATTGTGATTTGCGAAGTTCTAGCTTCGCCCGGGCCTTCGGCTATGGCCCGGCGCCCCCCAGAAACAAGCAGCGTCCCCTCTGATAAAGCGCTGTTTGTGGGCGCGAAGGAATGTCGGCAGAAAAAAGGAGAAGAAACGGAGGGAAGACAATCATTCATTCTTAAAATCTATTTGCCTGAAAGCGACCGCTCCTTATCTCCGTTTTAGCCCCGATATCGGCGAGCTCCCCTCTCCCTCTTATCTGTAAGGTTCCCCGCCAGAAGCCGCGGCGATGTCAGAGCCAGATAAGGACGTCAGCGCGTCAGCAAGTCAGCACTCTTTCATGGGCCTGGGTCGAGATTGATGTTTTGGGGAATCGTCGTAGACATTTTGGGATCTTCACTCTAACACCTTTTTTGTCCCTTTTTACTTAGTTTTTAATGAATTAGTAATTTATCAACGTTCATTTGTCGTTATGTTCTTGTGGGGTAAGACCGTGCGACACAAAAGGAAACATCTTGCAGACACTCTACAAGAATACGACCTTCTAACGGAAATTTTAAAGAAAGACCGACTCGGACACAATATATTAAAGAATCATAATAATGATGATGGTGATGATGATGATAATAACAATAATGGTAATAATGATAATCATAGCGACAACAACAATAACAACAATGATAAGAAGAAATAGAAATTAGGCAAATGAAGAATCTCGGCTTCTTATAAAAAAAACGAAATGACCAAAAGACCAAAAGACCCCCACTACCTTGTTCCTGTTCCCCCACCACGAGGACCGACCGACCGACCGACCGACCGACCGACCGACAGACCGACCGACCGTCCAAGACCTGAGTTCCCGACGAAGGCCTCTGCGGGTAATGACGAGGGCAGGAATGTGGCGCTGACAGATCCGCTGTTATGATAACCCGAGCTCTGTTGTCGCCTTTTCTCCTCGCCTGTCGTCGCTCTGGCCTCCGCTCGATCGGCTGGGTCGCGGGTAGGCGGATATTTTGAGAGTATGAGAGAGAGAGAGAGAGAGAGAGAGAGAGAGAGAGAGAGAGAGAGAGAGAGAGAGAGAGAGAGAGAGAGAGAGAGAGAGAGAGAGAGAGGGGGAGAGAAAGAGAGAGAGGGAGAGAAAGAGAGAGAGGGAGGGAGGGAGGGAGGGAGGGAGGGAGGGAGGGAGGGAGAGAGAGAGAGAGAGAGAGAGAGAGAGAGAGAGAGAGACAGAGAGAGAGAGAGAGAGACAGAGAGAGAGAGAGAGAGAGAGAGAGAGAGAGAGAGAGAGAGAGAGAGAGAGAGAGAGAGAGGGAGAGAGAGAGAGAGGGAGAGAGAGAGAAAGAGAGAAAGAGAGTTATGTATCCAGATCAACCGGTGATAAGCACCGTCATTCTTAGCGTGTAATAAGGGTGAAGAAAGAGCTATGTTAACCTCACCCCGGCCGGAGCAGACTTGCCGAAGCCCAAGCACCAAAAAACTACAAAAAGGCTCTTAATTACAGTAGATTCCGGGCATAGAATATTTACTTAAGAGCTGTAACAAAACAAAGCGCCGGCATCTGTTTACGCGTATATAAGTGGTTTTGTATGTCTGATCTACGTGAACGTTTTCTTTGTTGTTGTTATTACTGTAGACGATGAGGAAGATGCGTGTGTGTATGTCTGTAGGCGTGTGTATATGTGTGGGTAGGTGTATACGTAATTGCGTATGTTTCAGAGCGCATGTGTCTACATGTTAACTGCATCTGCAAGAGTCTGCAACATGTGTGCCTGAGCAGTGACATACCTGCACGGGAGGCGTCCTCGGCGCGGGCACGTATGAGTGTGTCATCGCAACTGCTAATCGCCTCGTAAACTTGAGTACAACGAATCACATTGCATCACCGCATGCAGGACCGGACGTGGCAGCCCGATAATGGCTCACCTGTTCCCCGGGACCTTGACAGCATGTACGCCTTGTATCATGCACCCAGTGTTTCATGCTCCCTTGGCTCGATGTACTATGCGCATACTCAGGTATTTGATATCATGTTCATCTTATAGCATGTACTCAAAGCATGATTTTCTATGTATGTGGTATCATGCATACCTTCCACAATTTCATCACTGGCATAAATTATTCTCAGGCATTTAATATCGCATCTTGCATAATGATCCCTACGCATAATATACAACGTGTAAACGCAAGCATTTGATGTCATGCACCCCCGTGCATACTCACCATTCTATGTCATACACACTTTCATTATGCGCCCTAGGCATAACATATTACATTATATATATACTCAGGCATCATATGAAGACATTCATGGCCCCGGGCACTGTGCAGCTATCACTGACATGCATCTTAGTATCATGCCTCAGCGAATGCAAGCACTCAGGCATCGTGTATAACAAGGTCTCAGAATGTCTGTCGGTTCACTCTGATACATCTAAGGCTCAAATGTTACGCACGCAATCATGTCAACGCTGATTTAATATTACATTCTGATAATTAAGGCGGCTACAATGTTGACTATGATAATGATGACGATGGCATTTTATCATTACGTTTATCTTTGCTGTCGACTGATTGATTAACTAATTTCCAGCGGTAGTGATAATGGTAGCGATGTGCTAATAGCAGCAACAACAGCAATATTGGAAGCACCAGCAACGGTACATAATACAATAAGTAGTAGTAGCAGAACAGTAGTAGCAAGAATTACAAAACATCAGTACCAGCAGTGCTAATGTAGTCGTTAATTTGTCGTTCCTTCTTTTACTACTATTATCACTGCAACTTTTACCTCTACCGTAAGTGCTACTGCTACTGCAACTACTACTAGTACTACTCTCACAATAAAAAAAAAAATGATGGTTATACTAACAACGCGAAGACAAATTAGTTATATTGACACTAAAATTACATCCAAACCAAACGTCACAATAGAAGAAAAAAGTCTATCCCGAACCCGACGTCACCCACCATCACCCCCATCCGCAACCACATCACGTTCATCATCCTGGAATCACCACCACCATCCTCACCAC